ACACATACGCAAAACAGAACATAATGACTCCGTGTGACCTGAACACAGAGGTGAGAGACAGAGAGATAGAGCAGAGAAGAGGGGTGTGGAAATTCTTGCCAAAATGCCAAGCTTTTAAACAGATTCTGAAAACACTCAACACTCTTTTGTAACCAGGAATGATGCAAAAAAACTTTCATGCTAATATTTCTTCATGTAATGTAGGTGCAGACTAAACAATGCTATTCCACTTTTGGCGAAGGGTGTCGTGGTGATTGGTAAACAATAATTTACATTTACATTTACATTTAGTCATTTAGCAGACGCTTTTATCCAAAGCGACTTACAAATGAGGACAAGGAAGCAATTTACACAACTATAAGAGCAACAATAAATAAGTGCTATAGGCAAGTTTCAGGTCTGTAAAGTCTAAGAAGGAAAGTATTAGTAGTATTAGTATTTTGTGTTATTTTTTTTATTTTTTTTTTTTGGGGTACAGTTAGTGTGATATCCTGAGAGGCAATTGCAGATTAGGAAGTGAAGTGGAGACTAAATAGTTGAGTTTTTAGTCGTTTCTTGAAAATAGCGAGTGACTCTGCTGTTCTGATGCAGTTAGGGAGTTCATTCCACCAACTGGGCAGATTGAGCGTGAGAGTTCGCGAAAGTGATTTCTTCCCTCTTTGGGATGGAACCACGAGGCGACGTTCATTCACAGAACGCAAGTTTCTGGAGGGCACATAGATCTGCAGAAGTGAGTGCAGATAAGAAGGAGCAAGGCCAGAAGTCACTTTGTAGGCAAACATCAGAGCTTTGAATTTGATGCGAGCAGCAACTGGCAGCCAGTGCAAACGGACTAGCAGCGGAGTGACATGTGCTCGTTTAGGTTCATTGAAGACCACTCGTGCTGCTGCGTTCTGGAGCAGCTGAAGAGGCTTGATAGGGTTAGCTGGAAGCCCAGCTAGTAGAGAGTTGCAGTAATCCAGGAGAGAACAAGAGCTTGAAAAAGGAGTTGAGCTGCATGTTCAGATAAGAAGGGTCGGATCTTTCTGATGTTATAGAGTGCGAATCTGCACGATCGAGCAGTTCTAGAAATGTGGTCAGAGAAGTTTAGTTGGTCATCAATCGTTACTCCAAGGCTTTTCACCATTTTGGATGCAGTAATGGTTGCCCCATCCATCTGGATTGAAAAGTTATGGAGTAGAGTCGGGTTGGCAGAAACTACAAGCATTTCCGTTTTTGCGAGGTTCAGCTGAAGATGATGATCTTTCATCCAGTGTGAAATATCCAACAGGCAGGCTGAGATGCGAGCTGGAACCGAGGGATCATCAGGATGAATAATGGCTGACAGGACACAAGAATCAATATTTTTATATTATGTTGAACATAACGGCATGTCTGGACCATCAGAAAATCTTTTTTATGTAATGTAGGTGCAGACTAAACAATGTGCCTCCACTTTTTGGCATGATCAGTGTAGCAAAGTGTGTTGTGGTAATTGGTAAACAATAATGGCTGACAGGATGCAAGAATTAATAGTTTTATGTTGAATGTCACGGCATGTGTGAAACAACAGAAAATTAACTTTTTCCCTCCCCATCCCTCACGATGGGTTCTATCGCATTGATAAACATTTATGAGGACTTCTGATAGTACCCAGAATAGCAAAGTCCACTAAAGGAGGTCGAACATTCTCATGCATGGCTCCAAAACTCTAGAATAGCCATCCTGCTAATGTCGGAGGCTCCGATATACTCTCTCAGTTCAAAACAAGATGAAGGAGCTATCTTTTAGCAAAGCATACATGCAATTCATCACATAACTGCATGATGCGCGAGTGTGATCCATGCAGATGAGTGAGCTTGACAAACAACCCGTAGGACACACTTCTCCTGTCTTAATACACAGGCACTTTGCTGGAAATACTTCTTTGTTATACATGTGTGTTTCTGTGTTTGTTTATATAACTACTTTTATTTATAGCACTTCATTTTCGCATTGACAATTATTATCTCTTGTTCAAATACATTAAGAACAGCAGCTTCGCTAACAATTTTTTTTGTTCTCTATTTCCAACTGGGGATGCCCATCCAGAGTGTAGTGCCACTTTAATGAGATCCAAGTTCTGTGAAGAGATGATGCCAACCATCGAAGACTTCAAGCACAACACATACACTTAATAAACAAATAGACTGCATTAGGGCTGCACGATATTGCAATAGTATATCATTGCGATGTTTTTTATTCTGTGATATATATTGCGATGTGAATAAAATTTCACCGGATGACTTAATATTTCTATTTGGAAAAAATTTAGAATGTTAGATCGATTGGGATGACTCTGCAGTGGGAGTGCATCTCCTTAAAATTTAATGAACAATCTACAAACTTTTTGGGGTACCCCGACACTTTTTTGTTGTGCTCTGTGCTATTTGCAGTGCATTTCTGTATTTGCATGTGTTGTGAGTATTCTCATGCACGTGTTTGGTCAAAGATTGCTGAATTAATGTTTGCTATTTGCATCTCCATAAAATATAATAAACAATCTATAAACTTTTTGGGGTCCCTCGACTCATTTTCGTTGTGGTCTGCTATTTGCAGTGCATTTGTGCATTTGCATGTGTTAAGTATTTTCATGCATAACAATCTATAAATACAATCAAGAAAAAGATACAGTACAATTGAAATGTAGTGTTTTATCATGTCCAGAGTCTGACAGTATTCAAGTACAGTAACTGAATGATAAAATTAAAAATAATTTAATAAAACTAATCCTAGTTAAGGTCACAAATGGTACAAATTCTTATACCTAAATGATTTCAAAGTCATTATACAATTACAAACTATAATAACACATGAAAATTATAAATTATAATACAAACTCAACATTGCGTACACTCGCAATGTGACTATTGCAAATGAACACATTGCGACGTCGCTTCTGAAACAATATATTGTGCAGCTCTACACTCCAATAAACATGTACACATGGACATAACCTATATGCTATAAAACTGCAGGTTAATATGTTTATATATAATAATTTCAATTGTTTAAAGCTATTAGTTTCTAGCTGAAGTTATTAGTAATTAATAAACTTATGTTAACTAAAACCTTAACTTCTCCAAATTTGATTGTAATTCAATAATGTGCATCTTTTTAAAGCTCATTTGAAACATTAATTATTGAGAAAAGGACTATAGAAATAATCTTGAATTAAATTATGAAGACTGCAAAAATGAAAAAGATGGTAGTAATGCAGATAGGTGGAATTATGAAATGAGGAAAGCCCCTATAAAACATGCCTCCTATATAGTCATTGTTTTTCATGGTCTTGTTTACAGGAATCTGTACTTAGGTTCACTTTCGTAATGACATCATGGAGATTGCTTAAGAAGATGACTAATATCTGGGAAGCAACATGTAGTCTGAGATGTGTCTTGCCTACAAACATGATCAAGATATAAGAGTCAAAACTGCATAATCTGACTATATATGCACAAACGCACGCACACACACACACACGTTTGTTTTTGTGAAAAGTGGGGACATTATATAGGTTTCCATTCATTTTATACTGTCCAAACCATATATTATATTGCCCTCACCCCACCCCTAAACCCAACCATCACAGGAGACAGTGTGCAGCTTCACTCTCTGATTAAACTCATCCTGTAGGATTTATAAGCATTTTGAGAAATGAGGACGTCACCAATGTCCTCATATTTCACCTCCTTTTTGTAATACCTGTGTCATACCTACGTCATTATACAGATTTGTGTCCTGATATGTCACAAAAACACGTACACACACACACACACACACACACACACACACACACACACACACACACACACACACACACACACACACACACACACACACACACACACACACACACACACACACAGGGTGAAAATCTGTATGTTAAGCATCAAGTGTCCACTAAATGGCTACATCAGTGTTGTTTTACAGCAGTTTTGTGCTTAGTAAATTAGGAAATGTTTCACATCACTGGCAGTTAAGACAGTTCAGAGTATAGCAAAACATATATACCTAAAATAAAGAACGTTTTAACAAATTTTCTCTGTCTGCTACTGTTTAAACAAACAGCTTATCCTGCCTTGAACGTACACAATTAGCATCATTAGCAGATCCCTGTTGCAAAAGTTTCTCAGTAGCCAAAACAGACGTTTTTATGTTGACAGATACCAGGATAGCCAAAGGCACAACTTTATTTTCTTAAAACATCCATTTCCCTGATACATCTTATACACTCCCTGAAAATAAGGTATACGAGCTGTCACTGGGGTGGTACTGTACCTTTTTATAAGGTACACATTTGTACTTAAAGGGTACATATTGGTACCTTAAAAGTATACATTAGTACCTAAAAAATTTGAGAGGAACACTTTAGTTCTTTTTAGGTACGTATATGTACCCTTGAGGTATTAATATGGAGCTTTGAGGTACAAATTTGTACCACTGGAAAAGGTACCACCCCAGTGACAGCTCGCATACCTTTATTTCTGGGAATGTAGCAGGAAGCAAAAATAGCTTTAAACAGGCGATGTATCCTCTTATGTTCAGACATTTGCAACCATTTGCAGTCAGTCTACAGCCACACATATGCCTGATTCTCTAGAAAGATAATCGCTTAGACACTACAACCATCAATTAAATCAGGAATAAGAGCACACATACAGTACACACTTTAAACTCAACGACACCAGGTCAGCTATTATTATAACATTGTCTGTCTTTGACAAATGAAACACTTCCCATTTAAAGAAATAACTCATGTCTAACCTACTTTCAAGGATATGTGATACCTGAAACATTCAGACAGACAGGAAGAAACCAACAATACTCGTTCTCAAAACAGGAAATCTATTAGACAGACACAAACTGCTGACGGAGTAAAATGAATGTAAGAGATGTAACAATGAAGACCTTTCAGGAATATTTTGACTTAAAGGTTTATTTATTTGAATGAGATGATGAATGGATGTCGGTCTCCTCACCTTTATCTGCCACAGACAGTGTGCTGCTCAAGTACTTTTCCTCAAGCATCCATGATGCATCGTTCAGCTTGGACGAGATGCCACACGATCCCACACAGCAGACTTTAATGGCTGCAAAACATAATTAAAGGACACAATTACATTTCTGACATTTTTATTAATGATACTTTGGGCTTTTTCCCCTTGTCAAGTCATTTGGAAATGTTAAATGTGTGTGTGTGTGTGTGTGTACTTGTTAATGTGGTTTATGAGGACATATTCAAAACTGAATAATGATGCGAGTATGACCAGTGTTGGGCAATACGTGTTATCAGTAACTTGTTACTGTAACGGCATCATCTTTGACAGTAACTCATACTGTAAAACAAAATAACTCTGTTATCGTTACAATATGATGAGTTTGTCTGTTAGAAAGTTAATTAATTTTGGCTGCAGTCTAGCCAACATCTTCCTGTTTACAACAGCGACGCTTTGTGGGATTGGTGGATGCCAACCAACCACTGTAAATAAGAAGCGTCGTGCATGAGCGCCAGACTGGACAAAATTCCAGCAAAAGTGAGAGACAGAGTGAGCGAAGGGTAGACCAAGTGTGGACGCGAGAGAGACAGAGAGACTATTAACGTTACTATTATTAATTACTATTACTAATACTACTATGTTTCTTGTTTCAAATAAATAAGCAAACATTTGTTATCTGTATAACAAAATTGATTAGTTTAGTAGACACAGTGACACATTTCTGCTATATTTCAGAACACACCTTAATTTAAATGTATAGTGTTGTATAGCTCAGAAAAATGCTTATGTTTTGATTGTTTTACATATCTTATTAGCTGTGTACAATAGCAGATTTTGCACTTTGAAAATACACAGCTTACTTTCCATAAGCTGCTGACATACCACATTTAATTTGTGTTTAGTTTGAAGATTTCTCATAGATTTCATTTTTGAGCAGCTGTTATGTTTTTGTTTTGTTTAAAATGCATAAAATGTATGGTTGTCTGTAATAGCAGATTTTTTGTCCTGAGTTTCATCAAACTGATCGTGAATGATAATTCGGATTACTTTTACTTATTTATTTCATAAAGGTTTTGTGCTTGTTGTATATTGTGTATTTCATATTGTTGCTGGTTTTCATTTTCAAGCTGTGAAAGAACGTTTAAGAGTTAAATACAACAACTTTTATGATGCTGAAGTAACTTTAGTTTGGCTTTTTTGTTTTCTAAATATAAAATTCAGCTGGTTTATCACTTTGTGATATTTCTTTATTTTTGTGCTGCTGGACTTATAATAATAAGTTAGTGTTTAAAAATAATTAAACAGTGTTTTACTTTTTACTTAGGTTGGTCTTTTGTTTTAGTTGTTAGAATGGAAATTAATTAAAACAGTGAAGCTGAACAACAGTGTATTCTCCATGCAGCACTGAAGTGATGTTATAAGAGCATTAATGGGAGCATTAAAAATGTTCGTTGAAAAAGTAACTCAAATATTACTTTTAACAGTAATGCATTACTTTTTGGTGTAAGTAATCGATGAAGTAATTGAGTTACTTCTTGAATGAACCAACTAGGAACTGTAACTAGTTACTATTGTACTGTAACTAGCACAACACTGGGTATGACTTAGTAGTACTATATTAAGGTGGTTTATGAGGACATACTTTACATGTGTCCTCATAATTTAAAACGCATAAAAATCATACTTAACGGGGTCTTTTGACATTCAAAATACGCCATAGGTTTCTTGTGAGGGTTGAGTTTAAGGGTTGGGAAAGGTCCTGTAAATATTTTTACACTTTACATACACACACACACAATATGTGCATTATTAGTACATTCCTGCATTGAGTTAGCACATACAGTCCTCAGCATAAGTACACCCCTCACAAATCCACTTTCATATTCATTCTTTTAATAGCAGACTATACAATAATATATTTGTGCATACACATTAGTTTAGTGAGTACTGAAGCCAAATCTGGAGCTTATCTAACAAAATAACTTACGACAACAGTCCAAAAACTAGTACACACAAATGTATATGTTACAGAAAAATCATAAATACAAATTAAAAATGGAGAAAAAAAATTAAAAATTTAGTTGAAATTTTGTAGGTTGTCATTTTTTTTTTTTTTTTGCAATATTTAGCTTGAATTTAATTGTCTTATCTTTCAATCTCTAAATATTTTTTGGTGACTAAAATATTATTTTAATAAATATATCCGTTTAATAAATCTGTTTTGTTTAAATGCACCAAATTACTTTGCCTATATATTCACTGAGAAATGGATAAAAACATTCATTTTCAAAATGGGCTGTACTCAATTATACTGAGCACAGCATAGCCCGGCCTCTTCCTTCAACACTTGATAAACTGTAATCCAGTAATGTACAGTAAATACAGAAAATAAGGTCAAATATAAGCATATTTTAAGTGCTTTTCCGACCTTCCATTCATATCAACCTGTTATTAGGAATTTCCAAAACCAAAATAGGAACCTTTCCCATGTTAGATGCACTTTAAAGGTAACCATAAAAATCTATTTCACATTCCTGCTCATACCTGTTCGACCTCTGATAAGGCTCTTCCCGAAACAAGCAAGCAAAACTTCCTCCACACCTTCAGAAATTCCTATAAACTCTCCACCATTCAAGATGAAGAAATGACGCAGGGACAGGTTTGCTAAGTCTAATTGCTGTGGATTTTCCCAGTAACAGATTCAATGTCGTGCTCTTGATGTCAAACACAGAACAGGAATGGTGACTATTTTCCTTTTACGAACAACCTATCTGATTTCAATTTAAGCTCAACAGACATTCCATACCAATTAAATATTCACTCAGAAGGAAAAACCCCATTGTCTGAAGCGCAACGGAGAAACAGCTCTCCCTATTTGCATTACAATTACTTGATGCTAACTCTCCAAACAGGCTTTATCAGGGAGCACCCAGAAACAAAAAGATGTCTGAATGTACAAAACCCAGACAGACCAACGCAAAACCCCTCAAATAAATAAATAAATAAATAAATAAATAGCCTCAAATCATCCTTTTCAGCTTAGAGGTCAAGGTCACAAGATGCGGACAAGAGATTTGCATGTGTATGGCTGATGCATTGGTGCTTTCAGAATCAGAATCAGTTTTATTGCCAAGTGTGCTTCACACACACAAGGAATTTGTTTTGGCTACAGAAGCTTCCAGTGTACAAAGTGACAAGTGACAACACAAAATAAATACGAAAAAAGATGATAAACATTAAACAGAGATGCAGTTAGTCAAGAAATCTGGATGTTGAATGTTGAATTGTATGTACAAAATTGTATTTTACCACTGTTATGCCACAAATAGATGAACATTTTAACATTTAGCATGAACTGAAACAGTCCTTAGTTCAAAACTAAAGGAGACATATCACAAAAATTAGCAATGTTCCAATACTTCTTTTCCCTTTCCAATACCAATTCTGATAGCTGAGCTCAGGGTATCGGCCAATACAGAGAACTGAACCTATGTCTGTGTCTGTATCTGTAGAGTTGTGTATACTACTAGCCCTGTAGACTTCTGCATTCATGGTTTTAAATACTTGCCGATAATAATACCAGAATTTTTGCAGTATCAGCATTCTGATATTTGTATCGGCATCGGAACAACCCAAATAAAAATCCGATATTTCTGTGTTATCCTACACAGGTTTATGTTATTTGCTAATTAATAACCATCTCATGTGGAACTCTAAATTCACATAATTTCAGAGTCCATTACTGTTACTATTGGAGGTTGCATTTTCAGTCATGGATGCATGCTTTAAAAGCCTTCATGACTGAATGAATCACACCAAGGCAACCCGGGGTGCTGCAAACATATTACAGTATTTTTAAGCTTTAGAAGAGTCAGAAACTTACAGGCCCTTTAACATGTTTTGGTACATGTAGAAGAACCTCTTCTTCTTTATCATTATCCAACTGATTAAATAGGTGAGGCTCCCCTTCACTATTGCAGATATTACTAATATCTGATATTCCGGCTGTTTTGTTGTTTTTGGAATATTAGAATATAGCATGTGAAGGCTCCGCCCTCTTTTGGAAAGCAGCAGCTCATTTGAATTGCTTTTGTGCACACCCAAATGGCGCAAATTTGACAAGTTATAATAAATAATATGCAAGGTATTTTGAGCTGAAACTTAACAAGCTGTTTCCATCCAAAAATTCAAATTAGACTTCTGCGACAAGCTAAAAAATCATAAAACATTTGTGAATAAACCACTGTTTGCATCCAGTGAGTCAAGAAGAAACTATTACCAACTAATAAAAAAGGGATTTTCTGAAGTAGAAACTAAATTGCACATCAGAATATGTGCACATCTCAGCTATTAAGCAGTTTTAAATTTGTAATTCCAACCTGTCATAAAAATAGGTGGATGAAAACATAGCTACCGACACATTCTGAGCACACCAGCAGTAATTTGTCCCTTTACTACTCAGACAAACCTTAAACATCTTGCTTGACCCAGTCAGGCAATTCACAAATACACAGCGCATGCACACATCTGACTTTGAGTGAAAAGAGACAAACTGACTGAGCCATGTGACCACATGCTGATCTGATTATGTAATGGGCCAGAGGTGGGTAAAGCCCAAGGAATCTCAACTGGATTGACTCAAAGCAGCACGCCACAGCAAACACCATCATTAGTTTCGCTTTCATATACAACTCAGGAAGCAATGTTCTTCATTTTAACAACCCTCATGAGAAAATGAATCCGATTTTACATTGTATTAAAAAAAAGCAGGATGAGAGATATGAGAGAGAAGAAAAAATGACTACATGAATATTTTTTTTACTTTACCACAACAGCAGCTCTGGATTTTTGTGATGATACCTTGATAAAACAAGACAATATTTGAGCTTTGAGCTTTTGCGATGCACATTTTCTTTAGAAAGTTCACAAGTATGAAAAGTAACTGCAAATTTTCTCAGTGTCTAAGCATAAGTGACACAAAATTTTAAAGTATTATTAAATTAACACAAGTTTTTAGAGAAGCAAGTTCCTGAGGAGATCTAAAAAACAAACCAACATTTAATCCAAAGCTCTGGGCATAGCTTGCAAGTAAA